CTTGGCTACCACTGGAGACACCACAGAAAACATTAGTTGGGAAGGGAGAAAAACGTGCCTTTTAATGCAATTGGATGATTTTCATCCTACCGTTTGAAATATGTGCGTACAGATTTCACGGAAGAATGTAAAGATGAAATGTATTTTAATGCCCTTTCCCATCATATACAAACTACTGTATACTATCAAAGTTTTTACTTTTTACAGAAACAGTGTACGTATTAAACTTTTCGCAACGTTTCAAGACCGACTGGTCCCTTTGTCAGCTTGGCAGTTTAATACGTAAATTGTTTGTGTATAAAGTAAAACTTTGATATCACATAAGATACAAACTACTATTTTAAATATTTTACATTTGAAGTGACATAGGCTGAAAGAATGCTCTCAAAAATTCTATTGCAAACTTTGTCAAAGTTGGACACTTTTTTCCAGTTAATCTGGACTTTATATGGGCGCATTGTACCGTACCCGGATACGTGAATTTTTACGTTATCCCGGTGTGTTTAATTATCATATCTCTTACATGTTGACATGCTATCATGCTTGTATTATATAGCTGTCCTCAAGTTACATTCTTGCATGTTTTTGAGGCAGACACAATTTGAGTCTCTCCCATTGTAAGGATGGGGTTGAAGGTTATTTAAATTGTATCTCTGCGTGTCTGTTTCGTGTCTGACGTCACCCTCAAAATCATATCATGTGACAACGGGTGTCACGTGATTTATCAACTACGGACTTCTTTTGAGGTTGGTGTATTGTTATATAAACATGAAAGCATGATATTAACCTGGTACGGAGCATCCTATATCTATCAAAACCGAACACTTTTGTTGTTTTTAGGGAGGTGAATGTATCCTCCCGTCAATCTCGATATCCAGGTGTAACGCTCACTTTTGCTCTCTGCACCCCTGGAATATACCATAACAAAATTGAAGGCTCAGTGTGCGCCACCTTGTTGATGGTACAAGAAGACTAGTTTGATCCTTTGATATACATCAAAATAATCTCGCGGCCACCGGGGCACGTAACGGTAAAAATTTACAAGCTTTAAAGTCGGGTGTCTATCCTTTTTAATCTTCAAAGCACATGTATCAGCCTAGCGATTGGTCTTTTTTTTTTTCTTTTTTTTTTTTATCTGAGACCAATCAAACAGCTATCTTCGTGCTTTCAATTTCGCTATGACATATTCCAGGGATGCAGAGAGCGAAATTTATCGTTACCCCTGGATATCGAGGATGCCTCCCCGTAGCAGCTTAATCATATTAAGACGGATGACTAACAGGCAAGACCAAAAATTGAGAGTAGGGAAGTTAGAAAAGAAAGATACATATCCCGTTTGAGACAATAAACCAAAATTGTAAAAAAAGGCATCTTTGTGTCGAATTGGTAACGTGTGCCACTGTTTGACCAATTGGGGTATTGTTTGAATTAAATTAAATTAATCAAATTAATTGTTTTATAGCAGAATAGTATTGTGTTAGTTACAATTCACATACACATCAATATAATAGAGTATGGCGTTGTTGCCAACAACTGCGATCATTGATGGTCATAATAACATTGCAATGACACTACATGTTACTAAGAGAAACTTCAATATGTTTAGCGCGAAAAGCGCCGAAATAGGATTACCGCAAATTATGCACGTTTACTATATATAAATTTGAACGTAATACAACAAAATATACTTGTCAATAATGCTTTAAAGTACAAAAAATATATAACAATGATTTAAAGATAATGTTCTTCACATGTACCTTATATCATATCTTTAAACAAAAATCACATTAGGAAGTCATTTTTTCATGTGCTTAAATAAATAACACAAACAGAATTTTAGTACTGACACGTATTGCTGATATTGATTGTAAACGCCGCGTGTATGATTTTGAAAGTCATTTATGATATAGAGAAACAAAGTTTGAAACGATTAATAAATGATGAAAGTTAAATAACACTGTTTGAAAACCTTTTTTAAAATTTAAACATAAATCAGAAAAATCATTACTATCTGTGTAAAGATACCAAACTAACGGTAATATTCCAGTGTACGCTGGGATGATCTAACACTTGGTCCGAAACAAAACGCCAATTTATCAAAAACAAATGCAGCTTCGTTGATGCCGTTCAAAAATCAAAATACTATGTATCAATTTACACAAACTGTCAACACAGGCTGAGTTTTGCCATTGTCCTATCGATGACGCGGTATCTCGGCGATGCACGATTTTGACGTGAAAGGAATACAGTGTTTGAAGAATTATTGTGTAGGCCTTTGTTATTTGTTTATCAAGAATTTGGATTTTATGCGATATTTTTCATCCTCCTATTGTACTTAGTGCCTGTGAACCTTTTATGAATGCATGTTGCGCATTATCGGCAGTACCATATAATTTGCCCTGTCTCCAGATGCCGATGACTCAAAAGTTTCTGAATGTGCTCGTGATATTAATGAGCTATGATCAGTACTTACAGCATCAATTTTCCGAATGTACTTTTGATATACATTAGCCATGATCAATATTGAAAACGTTAATGTTCCGAATGTGCTCTTGATATATATTAGCTATGATCAATACTGAAAACATTAATGTTCCGAATGTGCTCTGGATATATATAAGCTATGAGCAATACTGAAAACATTAATGTTCGGAATGTGCTCGTGATATAGATTTGCTGTGATCAGTTCTGAAAACATCAATGTTCCGAATGTGCTCTTGATATACATTTGCTGTGATCAGAACTGATAGCATCAATGTTCCGAATCTGCTTAAGTTTTGAATTAGCTATGCTCCTTGTCATGGAACTACTTTTTCCCGAATGCACTAATGATAATTATGATCCGAGTCGATGGTAGTATGACAAACAAATACTGTAAAAGTGCCAAAGTCATCTATCATCTGCAATTCGTGTCAATGACAGCGATGAACCCCATAGAAGGTTTTTCGCATCTTGCAGTTTATCCTTCTCAAAGACTAAAAGTTGTCAGAGCATGTGGAACATCAGGAACAAATTAATCAAACACTTAAGCAATAAACCATTGGATTTTACCTTGCCACACAAGGAGCTCATGAAGTACTCAATAATACTAGCCCAATTTATCGCCGGGTAATGCGCCAGAAGCTTTTATAAGTCAAGATGTAGCCCCCCTTTCCACATAGCATAACATAACGGAGAATTATAGACGTAGAATAATCACCAGACATTTCTTCTGCTGAATTTGGACCGTTTTGGCTCCTATTTGTATTTTACAATTAAACCCAAATAGAAACACTTACACGGTAAACCTAAGTGATCCTACATTTCATGCGCCTTGACATGTTCGATGACCGATATTGCTGATACACATTCTCCCGTGCAGGGATCAGACATTTTGCATTACTGCATTTTTTGTATGTGTCTGTACTTAGTAATAACTTGAGTCATCTGTATACTTCCTCGACGGGATATACGTCGACTTCAGGAAACTTGACATCCGTGGCTACAATTGTCACCCCCACATTTCTCTCAATTTTCCATGTATATATAAAGGCCTTCCTTATTATTGACTACAAATATGAAGTTCGTTTTATGATTTTTAGTGATACTCATTTTTTGCTTACTGTATCTATGTATGTGTGTGCTACGTTGATCGTGCAGGATACAATATGGTGGACTCTGTTGGTGAATTTGTTTAGTCCCCGAGGTTTGCTGTAGCCTTGACGGCCACAGTTGTCTCTTGAGGAGTGTCACGGTTCATAATAAACATACTTTACTGATTATTTAATTTGAAATTCACTAGTACTCCTTTTAACTCATAATAAGGTGTTTTACGCACCTGCTTTTTTCATTTTTCGATGAGCCCTAGAAGGACCAAACAGCTTTATGATGTAGTGAATTTCATTTTTAGCGCACCTGCCCGAAGGGCTTGTGAGCTGATGTCGTGAACCGTCAACTTTTCCTTTAAACGACTTCTTCTGAAGAATGGGCAGGCCTACAGTCATGATAATTTGGTGATAGCTTCCTTGGTTAGGACTCAACAAAGTTTGAGAACGAAAATGACCTTGACCTACTTTAAAGGTCACAGGGGTCAAAAGTGTCAAATACTAAAAACGACTTTTGAAGAACTGAAAGGTATAGAATCTTAATATGTGGCTGGAAGCTTCGTAAGTAAGATCCCAACAAAGTTTGCTATTGAAAATTACCTTGACCTACTATCAATGTCACAGGGGTCAAAGGTATCAAACGACTTCTTCTGAAGAACTGATAGGTATAGAATCTTAATATTTAGCTGGTAGATTTATTGGATAGTTCCTGACAACGTTTGAGAATGAAAATGACCTTGACCTACTATCAAGGTCACAGGGGTAAAATATATTGAACTTATCAAACGACTTTCTGAATCATTGGAATGCATAGACTCATATTATTTGGATGGTTGCTTCTTGGAATTGAGCCCAACAATGTTTAAATATCCAGTTGAGCGATACAGGCCCTCTGGACCTCTTGTTTGGCATACTAAATCTATGACCATGTTTTGAAGGTGTTAGTACACGTGTTTGTGCGTGTTACGTTCATCTTGTATCGGTCATATTCGTAGACAAGTTATAATTACACATCTAACCACGTATATCTTGTCCAGTTGCATGTAAATGATCACGTTCTTACTGAAAACAGAATATTAACTGCAATTGTTTCAGAGATAAATAATGTGTCAAAATATGAACGTAAGACAAACACGGACATGTGGTGTGCACCTATAAATGTTGGTAGTTGATGTAGTACACCAAAAATGAAAACCCCAGCACCGTATGCAGCTGATTTTTTTTTTTTGATATAATGAAATGTAAATAAAGTAGTGGAAAGCTTTTCGGTGAAGGTTTGGTTAGAGCGTGTATATTTAATTGAAAATGTTGATACCATAGACATAACCATTTTATATTGAATACATTTTGTTTATTGTCCATTAAAAATATTTTTATTTATATTATATTTCCTTGTTTTTTTCTCTCTCTTTTTAGTATTGTTCAGAATCCGAGGTCAGTGCCAAGACGCTGTATCCGACCTTCTGTAGCACCCGGCCCACGGCCTCTCACGTATCACGCAGTGTGGTGTCGATATTACGTCATCTGAACTGGAGGAAGGTGACCTTCGTACACTCCAGCGAGCCTGAGTTTGTCCACACCGCCAAAACAATTAGCAATGTGAGTACCTATGAGGTGTTTAATTTAGTAGTATGACCGTTTTGAAGGTTAAACTTATCATCACGTGTTCATCGGTATTGCCTTTAGCAAAACTCCAAGCAAATATCCGTCTTTGTAAAATAGGGCTGCAATGATATATCGTACTGTACCGTGATACTTTCTTGTGAATCGTATCGAATCGACGTGTTTGCCTGTATCGCGATACACTAACAGTACTGAAATTATCAATCAATTTTTATCAAACTCTAAAAGAAAGTGTTTTCTTGTACTTGAATTCTTCAGTAATGATGTGCTCTACTTGTGCAGTCATACCCAACAGTACTAAAAAAATAGACAAAGATATTATATTTCAATAGTATTTACTACTGAAGTCTATGACAAAACTCGAAAATATTCTGCACTCGATCATCATGAGGCTGACCTTTTAAGCAGATATTGGAATCGTGATGCGGATAGTATCGTAAGCATCGTGCCGCGATACGTATCGTATGTATCGTGCAGTATGCGGATCGTTGCAACCCTAGTGATAAATATCCTGGCCAACCTTGATATCTGTCCATTGCAACGGTGCATTGCCTGAAAGTTCTTCATTAAAAACATATTCTGTAAACTTGGTATATGTATTAATTGCCATATTTGGCATAGTCGTTGTTCTCAGGTGCATTTCAGCTCCTTTTGTAACAGATTGGCAACAAAATTGTTGGACTGACAAATAAATACGAAACTGTATTTATTGTCGCTAAAGTCATATTCAATAATTTACAGCATTAAAGATAACAAACATATAATGTTGGTTATCCCTACGTTTGACATTTTTACCTATTTTTTCAAATTGGGCGACGAGCTCGTTAAAAAGACGCAATTTAACAAGGAGTACCCCTTCAGAAATAGTTCAACCCACTCCTACTCGTGGTGATTACTTCCAAATAAAAAGAAATAAATGCCTATACATTTTTTTATTTGATCTTTGCAACACAATTTGATTCTAGCTGAGTTCGAGTTTTGAAGAGATAAAATAACTGTATGCCTCCGAATTTCGATTTGACATGATTGTCAAATATGATTAAACCTATAATGTTATGTGAATGGTTGCAAATAAATAAGAAAATATCTAGGAAACGGTTTTGTCTTGTCTGCTGTTTGTATTTTCAGTCAATTTTCAAACGTTTTCTTCTTGTCCTAATAAATTTCATCAAAAAACTAAAAATAAACGAATTCTATTCTAAATTTTAAGTTTATGGACGTTTTGTAATTAACGGATTTTATTAAAAACTTGGACTAGATTACTTCATAATTAGAATAGCTTACAAGGTCGTACAGGGATGGGTCGATTACTTTGTCAATGCACGGATTACGACGTTGAAACATTATTTCTATTTCAAGCCACGTAAGTCGATGCTGGCGTTTCTTTATTATACCTTACATAGCGGCGGTCATTGTGAGTTGTTGATGCAATTAAGGACGCTGAGCACTGGTCAACTGTGGTCATTGCCGGTTTAGACGTTAGAGAAGTTAATATAACCTACATGGATCTCCCCGCAACATCGGCCATAATGATCCGGTGCGAAGCGTTAATGACGATGATGACCCCGATCATAGGGTACCTCTGCTGTCCAGTGTTGGCAATTTATTCAACTGTACGCTAACTAATCTGCCAATGAATTATCTGCTTTCCACATACTAGAGTGGCAATTTACAAAAGCTTGGAGAGTTTAAGATGAAGAAATCAATTATCAAAGACACATCACGACTTAATGACTGCCTGACTCTTAGACATACCTCTAATTTGGCCATCATTCTTACACTCTACTCCTATCGAGGTGGATCAACCTGACTCACCTAACAGATCCTAGTTCATATGCCTCTATGCGTCAGGATAAGTGGATCTTATATCCTGACTTGATAGAAGAATATAAAACAGATAGATTCAAAGACGGGTTTTCTGTTCTCAAGACTAGTTCGTACACACGTAAGGGGCCGTTTGGCAGATGCTGCCCATCAGTATTGATATATTTACGGGGGCATTTGGAGGGTCTCTCGAGTGATTTCCCATCAGATTCTAAGTTGGAATATTTATCACATTATCACGTCAGTATGGCGACAAACTGTCCAGGACTCACTCAGACCTCGCAATTAAATTAACTAGACAGTCTATTACGTGGCCATAACACACAAATTGAAGGAGTAATACACAATCTTCTATATGTCCAGAGTCAGTTAAGATCAGCAGAGAAATGGGTATATCTCACTCATGAAATCAACCAGTATATTCTTTGATTCTTCTTTTCCTATTGTCAATTGTCAGCAGAAAAAGTGCATTACTCACTTCCTAAGTTAGCAAAGCGACATTCAGGTATTTCTAATTCCCGTCGGCAACCAGCATGCAAATATGTATCCTTCAATCTTGTATGCAGCTAGAAGACAAATGGATATCTCTCACTCGCGTAGTCAACCCGCAAGCCGACAGGTATCCTTCAGTGCTGTATTCTGCAGTGGCGGATGCAGGGGTATTGCCCTAGTTGCCCATGCAACACCCCTTTTTTCTGTGTCCAAAATTAATCTGATCCAAATATATTTGAAGATTTTGCTACATTTCATATGTGAATTTCTCGTTACAAAGTTATTAAAGGTTGTCTATGGCTTCCCCCTAGCCAGCAATTCCAATATCTTTAAACCTGAGGGTGCTGCCCAAAAAAACACTGATTTCCTATCCATCCCCAAACAATAGGGGATTAATCTTCCTATTGTCAATGTCAACAAGTGTACAGTGTCCTATGAATCTGCCAGCAGGGTTTTAGTAATTGCATAAAAAACGAGATACCGGATGTTGTTCTTCCGTCTAGGTTGTTGTTCCGTCTAGGTTGTTCTTCCGTCTAGGTTGCATCTTTATCATCAATAGTTCACAAAGTCTGTCTGTTCTGTGCCTTCGCCTTGTTTTATCTATTGCCTCAACACTTCACACCGTTATGACAACATGATTTGTTTTCAGCTATTGCCGCAATTCGACGTACTGTATTTTTTTCTTTTGATCTTTTTTGCACGGTGTTGTCTGGTTGTCTTCTTTGGAGTTAATTCGGTAACACCTCACACCCTGTAATTTTCTGTTTTGTTTGCAGTTATGGTCGCGACAAAACCCACACCGAGTGTTGTCATGTCTGTTTTTGCAGCTATGTTATCATCACATCACCCAATGTATCATCATTACCAACACGTATGCTGTTCTATCTTGTTTCCAGTTGTCTCGACAAATCACACACGAATGTTGTCATGCCTATTTTGCAGCTATTGTATCAACAAATCATTCCTTGCATTTATTGAAGGACATCATTACCAACACGTATGCTGTTCTATCTTGTTTCCAGTTGTCTCGACAAATCACACACGAATGTTGTCATGCCAACACGTAAGCTGTTCTACGTCGTTTGCATTTGTTGTTAACACAATTTGATACCCTCCCGATGTTGTCCTCTTGTCCTGTTTGTAGATTTTGTTCCGAAATGACGTATATTAATGTTTCTTTACTTTGCAGCTACTTCCCCAGCACGACATCGAAGTAACGTTTATGAAGGAATACAAGGGACCCTACTTCCATCTACATACGGAGAATCCTTTTGTCCGGATCGTGTCGGAGACGTTCGTCGACACTCGCAGTACGTATTCATACAGTGTTCACACTTATTACCAGGTTAAAACGTTACGCCACTGGTTTTAATACAAACTTTATTTCTGTTGCAACTATTATAAAACAAGATTTTACAACTTAACTTATCACTCTTGTTGACCCGGATGTTAGCGCGCGGGGAGTCTTACTGTGGTAGGAAACCGGAGTATCAGAAGAAAACCTACGTGGTCGGGCAGGTAACCTAATACTTTTTCACGTCCGATCGGGGAATCGAACCCCTGCAGCCTTGGTGAAATGCAAGTGCGCTGTTCACTGCGCGATCCGACCACCATACGCCATTGTTACTGCAAGTCCCTATTTTTGTGTGATATATTTCTTTTGGTGGTTTTTCGGAAAAATGTTCGGTTGTTCAAATTCAGATATATTTCAAGCCAACTTATATTGAATTGTCTTAATTTAAATCCCCGCGAATTCATTATGACTTTGTTGGTATCTGTTAGTACGTATAAGCGTGTGATTAGACAATATTTATAAATTATACCAAATCTTGAGCACAGAATTTTGTCATACATGCCTGATATAAAGACATCTTGTCCTGAATTATGATAAAAATACTTTATAACTTCAAATAATAGAGTGATTGTTATATTTTTGCGTGAACATATGTTTTATTTTATTGTGTATATAAATAAAACTACACACTAATTGTCATCATCATTTCAATATGAACAATTTCCCACGATGCTTCATGCATGTATACGCCCATTGTAAACCACTTCCAACCCAGTACCTCATTACAGCGATAAGTCAGGTTAGGTCGTTACTTACACTTATAGAACCCTTACGTGTATATATATTTTCATCTATTATTTGCCAAAATAACACACCCTGCGTAGGTGTTTCATAAATGAAAAGAATCGTAACGAGCGCATACACTTTGTATATAATTATAATGAAACGGTTACCATGACATTCAATAACATCTGTTGAGGCAAAATTTGATGATTACTGATGATGTTTCCCGCATGATCGACCCAGACACCGAGATAATAAACAGTCTCGCAATAACTGCATAACAAGAAACTGAATAAGTAGGTTACCATATGTGCGTTGTCAAGATTCACATACACCATTTATTATCACCAATATGACGGGCCTAACATGGGTGAAGTGTAGAAAGAAAATAATTAGGAATAAATGTCAAGTTGAGCGCCGATATATAGTGCACAACGACTTTCCTAATGGTCATTAACGGTCGATGTCCTGACATTGGGTGGTCTTTTGATGATGGCTAATTACTGGGGTAACGGTTGGCATCAGGTTAGGTTCATTAATACGGAGATACACAGAGTTGTCGCAGGTATATATTTCTCCAGACTGTGTCATTCTGTGTCACGGCACTATGATCATGTAGTACACCTACACATGTATACGAGTTTTTCTTAAGGATCCCTATCTCACTGAACTGTTTGTGTTTTCGTATATTCAGTTACCTACCCTTGACTTGGTTATGGTTATTATAACTGTAGCACAGTTGGTCCAGGACACTTCTGTTGACCTGGTAGCCCAATATGTTAGAAAGATAGTAAATTGCATAACAATCTGAAGTCCAGGGTTCGAATCCTGGTATAGCCCCGCTGAATGTTCACACTAAGAACACTGTTGTTGATTATTTTTTTGTATTTCATCTTTTTATTTGTTTCGTCCCGCAAAGGAATAGATTTCCTTTCAGAAATGATTTAGCAAAGTTATAGTCAAGCCGGATTTTTTTTTTCATTGCGTAGTTAAAGTTTGTGGTCAGTGGCACAGGGATTCTTAAATTAGTTACTAGACACGCACAAGTTTTATTTGAAGTCGACGCATTAGAACCAGCCACTAATTTCTACGTTTTTCCCCTCAGTTTGTTTTAGAATATCAGTTTTGTTTCTTCTAAGGCGGACGTTAAACCGTGTACTATCAATTAACCAATCTGGACTCTCTAGCGTTAAGTACAGTATAAACTGCAAAAGATTAATTTACATATATGATTTGCTTGTGTCCCAATCCTTTTTGACCACATGTTTTAAACATTAACTTCACTATATGGCCGTTTCGTCCATTTCGGATTCGTCAGAGGCACTTCAATAAAAAACAACAACCATGAAATCCATAAATGTCATATGCACTCTAAAAGTACAGATAGAAACACAGAACAAGAGGAAGTATGGCTATAAAACCCCTACATGTATATCCTTAAATTGTTTTAACGCTTGGCTAGAATAAACAATATATAAAATGTATCTGAAAATAATGCATAAAATGACATATGCATAGTTGTTTCAAATTCGGAAAGCTTTCAAGCATAAACAAAACTTATTTCGCAGGAAGGTGCCAAACACATTAGAAGCGTAGGACTCAATATTGTATACAGGTAGCTTTAGACATTCTAGAAGGATTAAGTCTGTCGTATTTGAAAATACGACACCATTGTCTTAATAATAGCACTTTCTCCCATTTTTCCAGAGACACTGGGTGTACGCTATTTAGACCTATTTCGTTGTTAATGTTGAGTCATCTTTAGTTTTGTTCTAAAACCAACATTAACCACCATTATACATTATCAAATAACTGCGTTGGTTAAGTACAACTAGCAGAAATCGAGATGTTCGCCCGTGTACTTTTAAAAGAAAACAAGCATTACGTAGACGGCCTGTCGGAACAAAAGACAGTCCAACTTACTCAGACAGCACTGCGTTTAATCCATAAAATCAAATTTATGATTGGTTTTTATTTGTACTCGCGCACACAATGAGGGATAACAGAGCAGCATGTTTTTCTTTTGGCTCTTTTTTGTTTCGGATTTAACTACCGTATTATTTCCTGTATATCAAAGGAGTTTGCTGTTGTCACAAACTATATCACCACTGAGTTCCGTCCTAGATTTAATGATTGGCCATATTAGCCTAAAAGCGCTGAAAGATAACTAATTGGACTCAGATCATCATTTAGTTGTTTTGATGTAGGGAACATAAAAGACTTGTTAAGATAAATAATTGCAAAAGACGTCGGGGTACTTTTGCGGTCAACGAGCGCGTGAGGACGCCTAGCGGTATGACATTTATCTTGGGGTGTCTGTCATTATGTACCTAGTTGTACTTAAATGGAAATACAAACACACAAATACATGTTGATGTACTGGTATCAAATCGAACACCGTGCTTCTAGTTCGAGCGAAGTGAAAGCAAGCACTACTTTTGCATAAAGATTAGATTTTTGTTAAAGTGAAATGTCAAATGATATTTATAGTGAAATGTGTTTAAGTAGGGAATGTTTCATTAGGTCACCGTCCGTCACCTCTGATTGACTTATACATCATAATTATGTCATCATTTAAAATATTCAAAAATTAGCCAATAATAGGTATAAAGATAATGCTTAACCTTATCAGCAAAAAACCCATTGTTAATGTAAAGATTCGAGTCCGTTAATAAAGAAGAGCATGAGGGTCACTAAGCAAAAAAACAAATTTCGTTTTTACTTGTTACTAGTCTAAATTTCGAGTTGACATAAACAATCTCAAGTTAATTAGTTGCAAAATCGAGATAAAAGATGGAAGATTCGAGTAAGTATCTCGAAAACCTGAATTAGAAATTAGAAATTTCGTGTTAGAAACACGAATAAAAATTCTTGTTAAGTGACCCTTATGCTGTTCCGTACATGATCGTTAGATGACTGAACCCACAACAGTTTTCTGGCATACATTTGATTTTATTTGTACAAAGGCCTGTAGTTAGAAAGGTGATTTTTCTACCAATCATAGGGCTCTTTGAAAAACTTGAAAATACAAGGTCAATGACGGAAATTGATATCCTGACTGTATATATAGGGGTTTTTTTCCGGAAAAAAATGCTTATATTTTTCTCTTTTCCTTTCATCAAACGACGGTTGTCTGTTATGTAAAGTATTCATTTACATACCATGTGGTCGAATATTTCAAAAAAAAAAAAAAAAATAGACAAGGAGAATAGGAGCAGTTGTCCCGTAAGTCACGACACGGCACTGTGTTGTATCTTTGAACCAGATACTTAACTCCGCTTGTTCCAGTCTACTCAGCTGTAAATGAAAACGTGGTTGGGCAGTGCTAGAATTGTTGAACGCTAGCTGTTAGCGCCGAAATGGCAGCTCCGGCTGTATGCTCCCCAGGCAGCTGAAAATGGCAGCTCCGGCTGTATACTCCCCAGTGAATTGAGAAAGGTAATGGCTGGTTGCAAAGGCCCTATAACCACGGACACTAATTTGTGAACCGCTTTGAGACGACCTACGAACTAGGTCGTGATAAAGCGGTATATAAGGACCTCGAATTATTATAATTATTGTTATTAAGAGAGAAAAAAGCGTCTTTTGCGTTATTAAAAAACACGATTTGTCCATCCCAGTGAATTACATTACTCGTATCTCTACCAATCAATGTAAGAAGAACCATGTATACCTTGACAAGAAAACGCACATGATTTGATGCTTAAGTTTTTTTTCATAAACTAGCGTGCATCCATTTTTGCTTCTCCGCAATAATGTCGATGATTTCTTTCCTGTGCAGTATATCTTTACATTTGACTTCGCTACTTCAAATATCACGATGCGATGAAGCAGAAAATAAGACTTTAATGAACGCTTATTTTAGGTAACATTGCAGTTATTTAATTACCGATTACTTTGTTAAAAACAAGTCAATAGTTTTGTCGTTCATGGCTGTTGGGAAGACTTGCGTAATCTGATATTTCCGGACTTGTGGTCTTGACTCAACAGTTAACGCATGACTTCAATATTACGCTATGGTTGTCTTGAGAGTTTTCCTGATAACAGTAAACTAGTCCTATAATGGGACATTGTAGGCGTAGCAGACGTAAGGCCAAGATTCCAACATGCAATTATAATACCGTGAAATTGTAACATCTTTGTGTGAGACTTGTAAATGATGCTAAAAATATTAGAACTAGGCCAACATTTACACGTCAATGAAGTAGTATACATGATTTGTGATTAGATGTTATCTGTTTTTGACATTTACCATGCATGTTCCTGCTGATCGTGTAACTAGACAAAATACTACAACCATTATAATGACATCTATGCTATTTTTATATTTAAGTACATAGTGTTACTTTAGTATAATGTTAAATGCTGTTTTTTAAGATAAAACGACATGTTTGTATATATTTTTTAAGCATAATCTACTGCTGCCGCAGGCATATCACACCGGTGAATTCGCTCAGTATGTTTTGTAAGAGCAATGCTTTCGACGTCACAACGATAGATATCTATGAAAATGATCACTTAAATTACGAAGTGAGGTATTGCCAGTTTAAAAACTTGATTAGAAATGCACCAAGAAAAAATGAACCATAAGACCATTTTGTTCATTTTGAATTCATAAATGACACTTAAGGTCCAAGGTTCAGCCAGCACGGCATCCCACCTGGTCACATTATATTGACAACGGGTGAACCAGACGTTGCCATTACCCTAAATGCTGCACTTTAAGAAGGGAAAAATAACTACCATTTTGAAGGACTTTAGTATGTCCCGGCTTGGGGGCAGAACCAATTGTCTTCTTCATCCAGGCGAACGCTAAACATCAAAGCCAAAAGTGAGACAGGAAGATAAAGATTCCAAATGTTGCAATGGGTGCAGTAGTTTATTTTGGTCGCTTTTGTGCCCCAGTTAGAAGGCACAAAAACACATCCTCAATTCTGCAGGGCGATTCCCTCATTAGGTGCCACTTACGATACATTCAGTTGGTAATAGCGGGGTGTATTCTTTTCTCGATCCCCAACCTGCAGGGGTGGCGTGGGATGATTTACAATTTTTAGCCGCAACCCCTAACACCTACCCACCCACCTACCCATATACCTTTGACGCAAGATGCTGAATCCCCCCCCCCCCCCCCCCCCAACGACGGAGACTGCTTTTGGGATGTTATTTCAGTGAGGGAGCAACAGGCCAATTCATCAATATACCGTCTCAAATGCACATGGCAGCAAGACCTTGGTTGACCTGAGATGTTAATCAGCTGTAAACCAAACTAAACTATCCAAACTGAAACCAAACGAGATGCTTAGTACACGTCTTTAAGTATATAAGCACGACTGGTTTTAAACAATTTCCTTCTGTTTCGTTTCATATTAATAATTTTTTATTGATAATAATTGCAAACAGAAGTTAATGAATCATCAATCACCACTTACAAGTATAACTTTCAAGGAAGAAAACATATATATTCAAAAATTGACTTCAACATACCGTTTCGGCAAAACAATGGTTCGTCTGCTGTTCTTCTGCTTTTGACCAATGAGGTTCAATTCAAAATATCAACCATCGTATGCCATTGCCACTATATAAATCTACCATATTCAGTTGGCATTCATATAGGCTATAAATGACATGGACCGATTGTTGACGTCATCATTATTGTGACGTTATAAATGTTATGTTGGATACCACTGACCCGTCCTGGGCGATGGCTGTTCTATTCATTGAACAAGCATACACGATACATTCTTTATTTGAACTAAATGTTAAAAATATAAGAAGTGAAACTGGTAAATATAAATATTGAACTGCTTTCAGTTGGCATTCATTGGCAATATGAATTTCAACTGGAGAAAAACAAATCCAATATGAAGCGCTAGCGAGTTTCATTGAATTCGCCTTTGTCAAGTTGGCATTAAAAGCAGTTAAGTAAATTAATAATTACAAAATAGTAATACACGGTAGTGCGGACACAGAAAACCACAATGATGACCGGTGTCTAGTCATATTACTGTTCTCTATGTTAAAACCTCTAAATCATTTATAGGTAAGATGTCATAGAAGTTTATGTGTGGTTTACAATCAAAGGTCAGAAAAAGTGCAGTACAATCGCCGCATTTTCCTCACTTCTATCGTCCCCCAGGTGTTATCCTCAATACATGTTATAGCCTCACTTAGGCGTTCACCTCCATGATAACACCTCTCATTTTACGTAAAGTATAGACAAACCCCTAGGAACGTATTTTGGTGTTATAATACCATTCAGATAGGCACTTCAACATGCGTACGTGTAGCTTTAATTTGACTTGGACAGACACTGGTAGCTAAAACTGTAAGTGACGTCGATGACTGTTAATCCTATATAGGCAGACGAGTCCCTTCCATGCACCCTTTTGGGAATGAAACGTTTTCTATCATATAATGTTGGGGGTTTCTATCAACCGATAATGATTTTGTTGTTTATATTACTAGTCAAGGTTCATTGCAAGGATTTTGTGGTTGTTCTTTGTGATAACCCCTCTTTATAATCACAATATCGGGAAGTATTCAAATCAACAGAAATTCTTCTGTACAATAAACTACCTAAACCTTAGCACATGGCCTCAAAATGATCAAGGTTGATAAACCAGACGCAGACATCAACCCTTTCCTTTTATACCATATTTTATTTCGATTTGTCAAAGCGCCACATTGCGAGTGTTTAATGGTACATTGGCAACAATGGAATGTATCAGACCTCCAATTGTGACAGTTAAGGTCATATCATTTCGTAAATAAACAGTGATCTTTGAATAAAAACAGCACAAGAACGTGTTTTTTTAAAATTCCAAACATTTCAATAAGGTTTGATACTTTTGTATTCTTTGTTTTGTTTTTGTATCAAATATTTACCTGCCCTTTGTTTTCTTTTTCTTGATACTTTGCAATGCTTTCCGTGGCAGTACTTCGCTATTGACTATATTGAAAAAAGGCTCTCCCCCCAGGTGGGGACATTCTTTATTCCTTATTGTTGATAATAATCCCTGCTCTACTCTCAGCATTTAGGGTAAGAACAATAGCAAGTTTAACTGTTGTCAGTATAATGAGATACTATATAATACTGTGCATTTGGCGTGATATTTCATTGAGGTAGCACTCTAAACACGAAACAAGTTCTGCTCATCCGCAAGGAGATAACTATACCTACATACCACTTACATGTACAGCATGCGGGAATACTTTGCCCTCATTAGGCACGCCCTGCCTGTAATAAGCTTAGATGTTACTGGGACGCAAGAACCAATAAACCAAATCACAACTATGCTATAGTACTTTATCTTAAGACGTCCTAAACAGTTACATGTCAGATATCATAGAAGAATGTGTGTGGTTTACAATTAGAGGTCATACGCGCAAAAGTGCAGTTCACGCGCCGCCTTCTCCTCACTTCTATCCCCCCATGTGTTTTCCTAGCTACATGTTATACATGTAGCCTCACATAGGCGTACACATCCATGATAACACCTCTCGTTTTACGTTAATTGAAGAAAAAAACCTAGGAACATACATTGGTGTTATAATACCATTCAGACAGACACTACAGCATGCGAAGTGTAGCTTTAATTTAACTTAGACAGTCTTTGAGACGCAGATGGCTGTCAATCCTATAATGGCAGACGACTTCTATTTAAGCACACTCATGGGAATGAAACGATATCTTTCATAGAAATGGTGGTTTTTTTAAAACCGGAAATGATTGTATTGTACTATATGACCAGTGAAGGAATTTGTGGTTGTTCTTTGTGATAACTCCACTTGATAATTACAGCATCGGGGAGTCAGATGTACTGAAAACCCTGTGTACAATAAACGACCTAAATGTGAAATGAAATAAAACTAGAGATAGGATTGGACATCATCAATTACCTGAGTGTCTGACGATTCCGGTTATCAACATTTACGGCATCCGACTATCGAACACTGTAAGGTGTTGAATGACCTAGCGATAATAAAGGCCACACAGCTTCTGTAGTTTGGGGCGTAGAATAGACGCCATCGAGCAAACAACTGGCAAACAATTGTCACCGTATCTACGGCATTACTTGTTTAAATTTGTGTCCGGGAAAAAACCGTTTACATAATCGTGTAAACATTTTACGTTATCCAAGCATCGATAGCGAAGACGGGTGTTATAGCTGGTTTATTTGAGAAACAGTCTGGTGCCATCGCACGTAAACATGCCTGTTACACAACCCGTGACATCCTGTACCGGGCAGGCCTTTCACATCCTCCACTCAAATGTGTCAGATCCCATCATTGCGTCTGCGCTACATGTTTCTGTTGAAGAAATCTCAGATTTTAAAACGCAAAAAAACACACACACAAAAAAAACAAAACACCAACATCTGGTAGCAGGTTTTGACACCGACATCGGAAACATCATTGCCTCTGCGAATAGAGATTTCCGATAACAGATATCTTATTACAGCCTTAAAGGAATTATATTTACAGATTTTGAAAATTCCACAAAATTTGTTGAATGTTATCAGATTTATATTCGTGACAAAAATGTTACAGTTTTGTAATGTATATTGATTCACAAAAGATTGCAGTCCTGTTTGGCAAAAAAAAGTTATCTTTTCATCTTTTGCAATGGAAATCCTGTCGTTAACGCATTCACCCCTGTACACACATTTGAACCCTTCCAATTCAAAAGTTGGAATAGTTCATTATGGAATTTCAGGGGTGAATGAGTCAAGATTGAATTCGGTGTTTCATACATATTTAAAACTCCTGTATAGTTTTGATATACTTTTGTTGAATGAGTACTAAACATGTAAAAGCAGGATTGATTTCAACTGTTAGTAAATGTTGTTTTAGACTCAGACTCGCTGTGAAAACAATTCAAATTATTGGTTCTCAAGACTATTTATCCATGAAATGATCAATAAAAGACAAATATACATTGCAGAACAGTATTTCTTTATCTATATCCGCGAGCTTTTATAATTATCACGGAAATAGATAATTCACATAAAAATGGAAAAAAGTGAGCTGAAGTATTTGAATTTATCAAGTAATTACGATTAGTTGTTAAAGGGTCTTTTTCATCGACTGTGCTCATTGATGTCGTTTGTTTCTTACAGTTTACGTAATGTTGGGTCAGTTCTACGATTTCATTGGTCTGATGGATCACCTTTATGATCGAGGCTTACTGGAAACCGGCGATTACTACGTCGTAGGGGTCATTCTAGGACAGTACGACCAAAACGACCCTCAGCGAATCATCAAAGGTTGGTATGACTGTACGTGATGATGTCACTCAAAGCCGACCGCCGAACGTCACAAGTGTAAATAAAAACCATAAAGGAGGGTCACTTACACACTGGAACGCATAGGAGTGACATACGTGTAAATATGCACTGTCAAAGGAGGTTTTAGTGTGAGCGTCATAAGTGTAAATAAACAACCGTCAAGAAAGGTCAAATTTATAATGCAACATTCAGACTGTTCAGCATAGGAATGTTCCTTCTTACCAAGGCGATCATATATCGGTTGAATTGTACATACTTCGAGTGCTTGACGTAATTATTTTAAGAACACTTTAAATGTCAGGGATGATTTCAAAGTATGAATACATATCACAGTTACATGAAAACCATGGCCACATCTTGTGTTTGGCAAATGAAATCGGGCGTAAGGTGTAGGGGGCAAATACCTCTGTGATTAGTCAAACTTGGTTCCAGGAAGATTGCAAAAAAAATGAAAAAAGACAACAATAAACACTTATGCTAAATCAAAGTGTCCTTTGGCCATATTTTACCCTCTTATAATATTTGTGGCTTATTTGTAAATATACACAAGTATGTTTGTCTTTGGAGCAGAAAAAATAGACGGATTTTGTTTTTGAAGTTTAAAAGCCTTCCTGTTCTGTGCAACGTCAATGTCTTCCTTTTTTTGTAAGAAACATCATTCACGCGAAGTAATGCCATATTTTGTAATTCTCAAATTCCCCCTTTTCCCACATCAGCTTATCACATAATGATGATAAATTACACAGAAATGTAACACTGATAATGTCACTTGACTTGGCTAGTGAATTGAGTAGACCTTAATTTCTGGACAAATACAAATTATCTTAGAAGTCAGAGAAAATTACACCTAGGGGGGATGATAGAAGTGAGGAGAAGGCGGCGCGTGAACTGCACTTTTGCGCGTATCACTTCTAAGTCTAAAAGGACAAAACTGCTATATGATACAGCGTTTTTCTTAATTTTTAGCATTATGTATCTATGACCAAATCTCAAAGTGCTTTTAACTGTGTGTGTGGGTTTGTGGGTGAATCAGTGTGTGTTACGTTCTCTTTAAAGATACAAGGTGGTAGATTTTGTCGGTGGATTCTTTAGTCTCCGAGGTTGGCTGTTGCCTTAGTGGCCACAGCTATCTCTTTTGAGTAGTTGACCGGTTCATAGAATACACACTTTATAAACTATTTAACTTGAAATCACTACTTTCTTTTTTTTCTTCTTTTTCTTTTAATTGAGGTGTTAAACGAATCTGTCCCTCTGTTTCAACAGTAGTTTAAACAATTTAAAATGTTTTTCCCCTAACGTCATCGATGGGTCCAAGAAGGACGAAACATTTTTATGAGGTAGTGGTATTCATTTTTTTTTTGGCAAAGTGCATATTTTACTAAATTTTAAAGGCGCTATCACCCGTGTGTGTATTACGTTCACCTACGAAGTCCGATACATATGACCTAGCAAGAAAAAACATCCCTGTGGTATATACTAGTACAAGGAGAAAGCATACACGACTATACCTTTGGGGTGTGTTTCAATAAAGTCACGTCATTGTGGTCCTATCACTGTGCACGCTCTGTTGCATATTCTCCCTTGTCATGGTTATAGATAAGCCTGCTGCATTGTATTTCTCCAGAACAATCAATTTAGACGTGGTTTCACATACCAATATATTCACTTGAATTACGTTTTTGTTAATCTTGTACATCTTGGTTTCGGTGTGCTGTAACCTAGAGCAAGCGTTTCCAGACTTCCGGAATCAATTTTTTATTGCGTCTTCATTTGATTGCCCCCTGAATGCCTTTCTTCGTTGAAAGGTTTTTATTAGCGCAGCATTGTTTCCACTGATAAAAAACTAGTATCTTTCAGCGTTGTCATATGATACCTTCTAAGCTTTATAAAGATTATTGTCTGAACAGTAGGAACGCGGTAATAATGTGTTAAATGGTGTATGAATATCTTTACGACCCGATGACCTTCCCATCATACTGTAAAAAGTGGAAATTCTTTAGTGTAAACATTTTCTGCGATGTGACTGTAAACTAATCGCAGTTTGAAAACTGTCGTGCTACAATGTAGCAATGGTTCTAAAATATGTATATTATATACGTTTATATAATATATAAATAATGTTTTGCGTGTGAATATTTATATACGAAAAAAAAGCAAACATTTCCAAACCACAAAAAATCCAGGGGGAGGGGATACTGATGATTCATATTTCATTTTTTACGCTTAGTTTGGTTCAAGTTATTTTGCTGAAATTAAAAAAACAAACATTTTATGTTTCTCCACTCAGAGAGACATGCCAGACAGTTTAATTTAAATATATATTTGAAAAGAAATCTCGCTGTTTGCAACTAAATACATTTTTTTTCAATAATTTTGTGTTTTCTAAAACGAGACGAAACCAAAACGAGGTAAGACTTTTGAAAATTGGTCGGCCATTTTGTTCACAGTGTGGAAAGAAACTGAGAAAATCAATTAAGTGGGATAGACTTTGCATCGGTTTGCCCAGAATTATATCTTTATTGCTTTCCCATATCTCTTAGCTGACATATAAAGTGTCATCTGTACCTCCTCTTCGCAGGTATTTTCTCCAGTAACGTGTCTTTGTCAAGTGTGAAGGCCTTCCGATATTTCATGGGCGTGCTTCAATCTCCTCCAGTTCACCAGGAATACATGGAGTTCTCCGAAAAGGTCAACCATTACCTCGAGTTGCCACCATTTAATTACGTCAATCCTCTGAAGAACTTTACCCTTAAAATTGTAAGTATAAAATAAGTATATCCCTTAGGAAAATTAAGTGGAGAGTTGTCTTTATCTGAATGTGGTGAAGTGAAAAGAAAAAGGAAAAATGTCTTTATATACAGCGTCAACACAAGAGGGCATTTTGGAACTTAAGGATAACCGTACCACAACTTCGGATTTATGTTTTCTTATCAGCAAACAAGGTAATAGCTTCATTGAATTATTTCTGAAAAGTAACCCATACCTCGCGGACTGTTTCATGATAAATAGCAAAGATTTAATAAACAAGGTTAGAATTAAGAATTATTGTCTAAAGGGAATAAAATACAACGAGGTATGACCTTACTTCAACTTAGTATCTTTAACTAATGGAACGACCTGACAATCAGTGAATCCCTGGACGCGTCTCATTACAGTTATTTGAACCCTACACAAGGACATTGGTGATCTTCTCTGCCACTAGTAACTTGTAGTCGATTCTTTTTTCCTTAATGATCCCTGTAGCACTGCACTCTGATTTAATTCAGATGTAAAGTAAACTTCCTTTATCTTATTTTAGGATATAATAGTAGCACAGCTGGTTCCGGTCCAGTCACGTTGATTTTTAACAGTGCGCTTTTTTTTGTGCATTTCATCACCTTTATTTTTTCATAAACGTTCCGCAAGAGATGGTTTTGTTTTCAGAAATGATTTATCAATGCTATAATCATGCATTCGAAATAGGTTTCCGCTGCAAAATGAAATGTTTTGGAAGTGGTACGGGGATCCTTAGACTTGAAAACTCATTGGTGTATAAGACACAGATGAACATAATATGGTATACGGAATGCTGCATATAGTGCAGAGGAAAAATGAACAATTGTTTATTTTGATGCTTATCTCAATATATTAATTTAACATTTTTAATATTTTTTTCTATTTTTCAAAGTCGTGCTACTTTAAAAACCAACGTGTTTTCATTTATATGTTTTTTCAGTTCATCTCACTTCATTACTTTGTTCAATAGAGTCACACTTGAATGAAACAGATTGCATCTAAAATATCCTAACAAAATTGACAATTTCTCATCAAGGTGCAGATCCGTCAATATTTCTATACCGTCCTGTTTAAATGTTTTTAAATTGTTTGCTTACAACCTTATCTCTGTAGGAAACATGGTAAATAATAATTTCACACAATGTCATTGACGAAATGCCAGTATTGATGACTCAAAAGATTCAAGTAATGGCAGGATTTATTGAGAAGCGTTATACATTTGCTTAATTACATATTTAATAATACACAATTGATAATGTGTTGATTTCAAAATGCGTAAATAAAGCTATGGCCCTTTTTAGAACATCATTACGTTTGGGTAAAATCAGTAAATAAAATATTACATGCAGTCACTAGAAAGACAGAATTTGTGTCCTCTCTCAGTAGTTACGTGTAGTCAATATTCCACAGATACGGACCTTTCAAAAGAATAAATTCTGTCTGCTCCCGTCCCTGTTCCAGGGTAGTCATATAGTTTATATACAAGGACACAATGATTTCACCCTGTGTCAAAAGTCTACCGTTGTCAATATCCTCAGATACACACCTCACAAAAGAACAGTGTAAACCCGTCTTGCGTCGCGGGCCAGCATGGTCTCCTGAGATGATTTTCGAGATTGACTCGTCGTGACCCAACAAATAATGACGGTACATCGTATATTCTCTGATCGTATGCTAGAATCGAATTGATTGAAATGAAAAGTGACTACTTCCTAATGTCCCTCACGTTTGGCGTGGCTTTGCTGCTTTTCTGATTATCCGACGTCCCACCAGTTTTAATTTCGACGTAAAAGGTTCGCTTGTGACAACCAATTTATCCTTCTAGCCGACGTGAAATATTGGCCATCTCCGGAACACTATTTCAGTAATTTGACCAATAATGTGTCAATGTGATATATAATACAGGCGAAAGGCTTGTACGTTTATTTCATTATGTAAGACCATTTACTGTTGTTGCAATACCCATTATAAGATAATGCAACAAAATGATAGGAAACGTTAACTTAACAATGGGCGAGTAAATCTGATGTAATTTTTCGAGATCTTTGTTTCTGGCGTGTAGTTATAGCCAGTTTTGCAATTATCTCCAGGGATAACTGTTATTTTTAGAAGATACATATTAATTTATCATTTGCATTCAAATGAAATTTGGCGTTTAAATGTTATCTTCTACAAAAAAATCTTACATTTGTGTTCATTATGAAATAATAAGTAATTTTTTTTCTGAGTATTTTCTCTTAAATATTGAAAATTTCGAAATGATGACATTGCAGTTAGTGTATGTTTTTGATAGATTTAAAGGTCAATTTAATTACATTAACGAAATACATAGATAAAATGGAAGGTAAACAATACAAGTTTGATAAGCAAACCGAGAATATCAAAGTGTTAACAAAACAATTCAGACTATAAATGAACGAAACTAGGGAAAAATATCAACAATAGATTACTGGTGAAATAAAACCGTATGCCCCTTAAGGGTAATTGTCTCCGTCTTCATCAATGACATTCGCTTTGTTAATCTAGTTCAAATCAAAGTCATGCCAGGTTATCAAGTATGTTATGATGAAACCACATGGGAAGCCAACGAGCTTAATAAAAAAATGTCGATATTTGCATGGCACAATAGAATAGCATATACACCAATGAAGTACTGATAAAGAAAGAAAACCTAGTCGATAATCTTTGATATTTGCATAATGGAAAAGAATATAAACAAATGAAGTAAGGATAAAGAAACTAGTCGATTGTCTTCATCAAATTGCGTCACTTGAAATCCTGTGGGAAGGAATTCAGAAGTGTTTCAGTTGTAGTCTTTTCTTTCATTTTTACTTTATGTTTCATTGGTTAGCTTGATGCGTTGGAGTTTGTATTCAAGGATATAATCCCTCTTGCTCTTGTACGCCAAGCTTAAGAATGTGGTGGAGAGTTAATTGAGGTCTACTTATTTTTGCTGTGAGTGGCCCTGGCTATTTCTAGACTCAGTATGGATCAGTATGGCTATTGATCTTCGTGATAAAGGTCCAAATTTATATGTCATCTATTAAGGTTCTAAGATTAATAATGGCTTCTCACACAGAATTGTGCTGTGAACATGCTTAGATGTCAAAGTCTCATACACATACTTGAATGAGCACAGCGGTAGTCAGTCTGCATTTGATTGTCAACAAACACATTGTCACATGCTTGGGAAAGTTTCTCCAATTTATCTCCCGTCACGTCAAAATATTCAACAACAGCTGTGGCCGAGACAATTCCAAACACGTCAGGAATGAAGGGTGATTCTTCGTAAATGTTGTCGTTGATACAATAGAGTGATGAATTTGGTTTTATGACATATAAAACATGATGGAACGTTAAAACAGGTTTCGTACGATTTAGACACACAACCTGTCATATTGAACACAATCTTCTCTCGTTATTAAAGGTATTTCCCTCTTTTTTAGTGAAGAAGACATTAAATCAATGGTAAAGAAATAAAATAACATCTTGACTGAATTGATTTTTTGTTTTAAAGCATAAAATGTGCAATTTACATTTAATTGGACGCGTTATTTTAACACACACTGCATTTTATTGAAACTGTGTCACGAAGAACAAAGAATACAAGTCATTAATTAGGTAACCTCTAATATACACTGCTGTTCCAGATTCCACCAGAAGCAGCGTTCCTGTATGACGCGGTGTGGCTATATGCGCGTGCTGTCCATGAGGTCCTAAGTGCCAGAGGCGATCCGAAGGATGGCGCATTGGTGGCGTCAAAGCTCAAATTTAAAACCTACAAAAGTAAGCGGTGAAATACAATGACTACCTAATGCAATTTCAGAGTACCTTGCTCAAATCTAATTTACTTCTTGTGTTCATATGTTTCTTTTGCTGAAGGTACACAGATCAGCAGTCTGGATTGTATTGATAAAAATTATCAGCAGTATACCAGTATAAAAACTAGCTTTTTGAAAAGTAATTGAGATGGACGGACATTATTGAATTTTTTAAGCCTATAGTATTATTCTATTTTCACATGTTGGTCTAATGGTCGTGATTGTTCGGGTAACTAGAAGAAATGAGTAATGGGATGGTTAAGGGCACGAACATTTACATTGCGTGTCGAAGTTTATCTTGTAGTGTTATTGAATCACGGAAAGTTTTGTGTACGTATTAACTCACTATTGATATCTTCGGGTTATTTAAAAATGCCACGTTGCATTTTGGACCGTTCTTGAATGCTGCATGTACGTAGTGATCGAAAGGCCAGCAGGAAACGAATGTCGCGCACCAGTTGAGAGCGAAGTAATGTCGTGCCAGTTGAATACAAATGCTCAAGTTACGAAATGTCTTTTGATAATTAAATCAATATTTGAGTAAAGCCGTAAAGCCGTGTGCTTAACGCTTTACATAATAGAAAATTAAGGACATTTTATTTTTGCGGACCCTTTGGTCCTTAAGGATCCCTGTAACACTACCAAAAAACATCAGCAACGCGTTGGAAAAACCCCCTTTTCCCGGCACGACCACAGCTTTGATACATCATTTATGAAAAAAATACAATGCGGGAGTTTTATGAACAAAATGAAGACGTAATGAAAAAAACATAATCAATACCTTTGTCCAAAAAAATAAAACATTCAGCGGGGCTTGACTGAGATTCGAACTCTGGACTTCAGCATGTTAAATTTCAGCTTGAACCTGCTGAGCTATATAATAAACGGAAGTGCCCTGATCAATTTGTGTTACAGCTATATTCGAAACGAAAATAAAGGGGAGGTTACTGTATGTACCTAAAATTACAGTGGGATTTGTTTAGTGTTTAGCCTAAAGCGTGACAGGGATCCTAAAGATTCATTGTAAGCATAGTCAATAATGTGTTAAAAAAAAACGTTCGGCAAACATCACTTTCGGTCTATGTCGCACGAAATGATGTTGCATGACAAATGAATTCTAAAGACAATATCTTTTTCACTTACATGGAAATACTACAATCAAACCTTATGCCATATTCCTAATATTGCACTGGTCATAATCTTGTGAGCATACCTTATAAAATATATTGGGTTTCATGTAATTATTTGACATTACAGGTGCAATGGGTTACGAAAATCGTATCAACTCTAATGGGGACGCCATGGGCAATTTCTCTCTTATCGCCCGGAAGTCAGGTCTGGTAGACAACCAAACTGTTTGGCACCTTAGTCCTATAGGTGTATTCCAGCTCAACGAAAACTTCTCCGAACTTCCGGTAGGTAGCGAGAAAAACATTAAAGGAACTCACATTGTTTCACAGATAGGGTATTATTGTTTCTTAATGATGAAATTGAATTTGATTAAGCTCAATTTACCTTACAGAGATAACTAAAGGATAGTTGCTTTGGATAAATAAATGATTTATTGATTTTGTAACCGGAGGGTTGGACATTCAAAACCCTCACCCCGACAGTCGAGATTTCTCTGTCATACCCTTGATGCAGGGAAAGATTCTTATCTATCCTACCACTATCAATAATGTGTTTGAAAATTCTGTGTGATATCATGATTTGTACATTACCTCTGCCGAGCGAAGCTGTTTATGATTTTTATGCTTATTGCTCCCGTGACGTCAGTGTATTGCTTCTTTCTGCATAGCGTCTGTCATAGGGAGGGGGTTGACAAAACACTCAAACCCGCAGGTATGGCAGAAAACACATTCTGTAAATGATGGACACATTTATTCCTGGCATGATTGCAGTATGTATTGGTATAGACCATATGATTGCCATCACCATTTATCATCGCTATCCAGGTTTTTTTTTTAGTTTTCTACGAGTAATGTTTTACCCCTTTGTAAGAATTCATTTTATTGTTGTTTTGAACACTAAGTATGACAAGTTCCTTCGTAGGCCAATGCCGTAGCAAAATGAATTGAGTTTGGATGGAAAATATTGTCGATAACTAAATTTTAGGACACAATAGTTAGACCTAACAAAATAATATTTGGATAAATTCTTACTGTTTCTTCTGTGCTTTCAAACTTTCCTTTTTATTAATGGCGGTTTTCTCGCTATTTCTGATACGGCATTAGTTTTCTGTGAACACTATTTACGTTGTATTTAATTAATTGCACTACTCGTTGCTATAATCCCTTATACTTGTCGTTTATACGTGACAGGAATTCCGGTTGTACGACGCGGAATCATTTGACTGGCCCTATGGTAAGGTCCCTGTAGACGAACCAGCGTGCGGATTTCGCCGGGAGAAATGCATCCGACCGAAAAGTAAGCCATGTCTTCCTGTGTATATTTTTTCCTGTGAAGTGATGACATTGTCCGCAGCTACTACTTACGTTCTCGCCTGACTTCCAGAAAACGCATTACTGTTCGTTAGCAGATATATAGTACATTTGAAAGAAAAACCATTTATTCATGTATTTATGAATGCACACTGATGTCATTTTAAAATTAAAGCTCACGCCAACGCTGAATTAGCGTCAGGGAATTCACGTGTCAATTAACACAAACGCGTTAAAAAAGACTTCAGGATATCATAAATAAGTAATTACTGTAAATGTAAATATTTTAGTGGTGGTCATATTTCACCGCAATTCGCGCATGCCATATTGCACTAAATTATGTTGGTGTCTGCTGAAGTTCCTGTATAATGTTTTTTCGATAACATATATTGTGGATGCGCTAATTCACTAATGCGCTCATCCGTTAAAACTCGAAAAAAATGCGCTTAAAGTTTAGTGCGCTAAAATGAGCATGCTTACAGTATGTCTAGGTGATGAAAAAGTCCAAACAAATGATTCACACAGAAATTCTTCCTTTTTATAGTTTCTGAGATATATTTATTTTCATGGCTATTCGCGATAAAGTCAAATTCGTATTACGTCACATACAGTTAGGCGTAGTTAACCAATGGAATATGCTATATTTTGCGTGTTGCAAATAAAAACAAAGATTGCAAATGAACGTAAGACACACACGTGATTGCATCTTTAAAAATTTGGAATTATGCACAGTTTGTCAAATATGAATTATCGGAAAAAACATCACTTCAAAAAATGAACGTCAGTTCCCACCCAAGTAATTGCACCTATAACTTTAGTAATGGATACAGTTTGCAAAAATAATTAATAATTGGAATCACATCATTTCAAAGATGTACTTCAAACGCTCACACCTGTGATTTCACCTATACAATTCGGTAATAGCTACAGTTCGCACAAAAAAAAAAATCTTGTCACTTCAAAGATAAACGTCAGAAACCCATATGTGATTACACCTTTAAGATTTGGTAATAGATATAGTTTGACATAAAATATTTATAAAAGATGAACGTTAAAAAACAAATGTCATTGCACCAATAGAATTTGGTTCTAGATAAAACTCATCATACAAATCAAACCAAACCAAATTGCGAAAAATTGGAATCATACTGTACAAATATCACGAAAACTAGCAGTATTGACGAAATTGGAAGATATTGACAGAATAGGAGCATTATTCTTGTGGCGCTGATACGTTTGGATACTGGTTCATCGACGTTTTTTCCAGGTTTTGGTGTTTGTCGTTGAATGTGTCAACGTTAATAAAATTAGCTCGCCGTAATGTGAGCGCGTTAATATTGTTAGTTTACTGTATAATGGTACACCGTAAAGGAACATTGTAGTCACTCCCATGCATATTCTCAATTTATCCATCAGATTGGATTAATATTGATTCTCGACAGTGTATATATGTACTTAAGATTTGTTGACGTAAATGTTACCTCACCTCACCTATCCTCTTCATGCCGGTCGGCATTAAAGGCCCAGCGTAAATGTCTAGCAGACATTAATCCCTTTTCTTCTTATCCTGTTTTTGATTAAAGCAACAATTAATCCACTCTGAAATATAATGTTACGGCTTAAAACGAAAGTATGTCTAGACAAAGAATGGACAAAACGGAAAAAAGTGATTGCGAAAATATGAAACACTTATAAATAATGACAAATATTTGTTTTTGCCAAAAGGAACGGACAAAGAATTGTGTTGTTATTGTCACCCGATACGGTGATGACATTGAACAAATTCCTTATCCTATGTTTTTTTCTGAGACGGAAAGTCTTGTCGCCTCTCTGTCTTTGGCGTGATGGATGACGGGATTACGTGCGTTTCTTGTCTCATTTTCTGACAGCAAATCGCGTAGTCTGGTGATTATTCCACGAAATGAATATGTTATGTTTGTCGCCGCAATTGGTAATTTCATGAAGTCTTGCAAAGAAAACCGCATACAATATATATGTAATAGAAAAACTAATTGAAGCCTTTTCTATGTACCACAACGCCACGATACATTCTTCATTGAACACTATGGTCTCTCCGTAAACCATGCGTCAGTGTCGTGTTACATTGTAGTAACAGAAATTACTAAATAGACTGTGACAATGGACATTTTCGCGATGTCGAAATATTCGCGTTTTTATCGTTGGGTGAGTAAGCGAAAACATATCCGCACGCGAAAATATTTATTCATATATTTTATATATGAATAGAATATCTCGATATCATAGCTATTACCAAAGTGAATAAATTTATCACTATGGTCTGTCCCAAACCGTGCGTGCTACATGTACATGGTAGAAGTCGAAATTCCTCAATATACTGTTAAAGTGGAATTTTTCGCGGTGTCGAAATGTTCGCGTTTTTATCGTCGGGTGGGTAAGCGAAAACATATCCACACGCGAATATTTATTTATATATTTTATAGATGAATAGAGTATATATCTAGATATCAGAACTATTGCCTAAGTGAATACCCCCACACCGTTATCAGTTTGAAGGGTTATAACGCGAATATTTCTACACGCAAAAGATACCAGTTTAACAGTAATTTCAGATGACACGTTGTCCTTATGTTTGCTCCATATTTCATTTCTTCAATAGGCTACACTACTGAGATTCTGTTTGGCGTTGCGGGGGGTATTCTACTCATTGTCGTCATCATCAGTGTCCTCATATACAGGTAAGTTAGATTTGATAACTCATTTATGAAAGAAAACCATACCTTGCAGGACGTATATGAAAAAACAGTGCAATGACACAGGAATTCCTAAGGGACTTTTTTTAACCTTATGATCAGGCAAAGATATACAGCACATCACGTCTATGAAGTTTAAATTAAATTTTAAAAAAATCATTCACTTCGACATTCAATTTGGAAATAGATACAGTATGCCAAAACAAATAACACTGCATCATACGGCTGTTTCGTCCTTCCCGAACTCATCACTGATGCTATTCCGTCTTTGCGAAATGCAGAGTTATCTTCTCTTGGGAGAAGGTATTGATTGTTACGTCATTGGTTTGCGCGAGAAAATTACGTCGTTTTCTCAAAAATTGATGACGTTACTCTCACAAACAAGTGACGCAGCAATCAATACCTGCTCCCAAGAGAAGGTTAATCTGCAATACGCAAAGACGGAATAGGCCGACAAATTAGAACTCCTTATTGGTCTAAACTACTGTTGAAACAGAAGTGGAGGTGGATAAAAGCCCATAATTTTAATTTCAAAATTAAAAGACGAACTGTTTAATTTCAAACTGAATAACGCGTAAAGTGTTATTTTACTGACCATGCCACTACACAAAAGCGATTCCTGTGGCTATCAAGGTTATACCAAACATCAGGGACTAGGAAACCCACCAGCAGAGTTTACCGCCGTTTATCTGTTATTTAAGAATATTTCGTAAAAACATGTGTTGAGGTTAAAAACTTCTATTCTTCAAAAGACAATTACTAAAACAGTTTCGGAAAACAAAGCAATTCGTAACCAAGCCAGATCTAGTTAAAGATCAGCATTCGGTTAATTGTTCGACATAACAAGGAAAGTTCATTTACAGCATTATCTCATTAAACACATGCAAGTCCTTTGAGACAAAGATACTAGATACGCATTATCTAACATGAGATAACACATACTTTATAAAAAAAAAATATTATTAGGTATTCCCTTTCAAGGTAGCATCAGCTAGATTGAAAAACAATTCAAAATAAATTAAACGAGTTTTGTCTCTAGATTGTTGTTGTCAGCAGCAAAGGGAAGCATTATCGCGATGATGAACGATAGCAAAGCAAATTAGACCAAACTACATTATCTAAACAACATGTAGTAACATGCGCTCTTGGGCCTATAACTGCCTCTGTTATGCAAATCATCAGAGTCATTCATGCGCCTTCCTAATCTGTTATAATGATGTGCATGTTGCAATTTTATCTACTGCAAATCCAAATGGGGAGTTTGTGCCTACAATTGAATATGAATACTCTTGAGGTTAAATTTGATCAAATGTACAAAGATCAGATGTCTTTCGGTTCGGAACAGATTAATGATTGCCAATGATAAGGTAGACTCCTCCCATGGGAACGTTAGCTGACGTTCCAGGAAATTCCTGGTATAGAGGATTATGCCATCAGGATCACCTTGCGTGCATGTTCGATACCTTTGTGTTGATGGAAGCCGTAGCAGAATAATCATTAATTTAGGGTGATAACATGGTAAATATGACTACGAAATGCATCGATTAGTATGTTAATATTTGCTATTATATTAATATATTGCTATTTATAAGACAGTTGGCATACATATAGGTGACTTGTTACGTACTAACAGGTGGTGTTAGGTTCTCATCGCTTGCTTCTAAGGTTAGCAGATTACATGAGTAAACAATTGGTGATCTTTTCATTAAGTTGTTGGTGTCGGTGAAATTATTCTTAGAGCGTTTACAGTTTTAAACTTGGTTTGCTGGTAGGGCTATGTTCGGCTTCTGTGTTCGAAGCTCTCATATGTCGTACCACTAAATAAGCGACCGGATAAACAAGTTTATATTCAAATAAAGTAAGACATACTTAAAATGCAAAAATCGGGCGTCTCTTAAGAAACAAAATATTTATACATCATCAATATCGTTTTGATTTATCCCATATGATAGTGCCATGCTCTCGAATGATCTTGATGTTAAAAGATATCACAGTTTGAATGTTTTGAAACTGAATAGTTCATCATAAAGAGAGCATAAGGGCGAGTCCGCCCTTTTCAGAAATGTGTGAATGAGTGATCTTATCTTGACCAAATTGAAGATTGGCAAATGATTTCACGGCTTGAGTTTTACTTGATAGCAATACCGATACATTCGCCCTTTCCCTTGTTTTTTTGTTTATGTTTTTCACCATTACTCCATATCCCGTGTCGTACTCTGTTTGCCGTTAAACCAAGCTTCCATAATATTTTTTTGTGAAACTGCGCTTTATTTCTCAGAATATAATGAAAAGCTGTTGTCTCTGGTACCATTTCATCGAGGATATGTTCCCGGTGAAATTCCGTTTTCGTGGTAAATACTGTATGAAAGAGTTGATCAGTGGTAAATGCATCACCAAATATCTGTTATAGTATAGATTGTGACAATTACATTTTAGATCTCAAATTATTGATGACCAAACTATTGTCAACACTATTGTTGATCCTGATGGAAGCACACGGGCAGTCTTAAAGTGAGAGGATACTACGATTTCCAGAAAAAACCCCACCGAGGTCGGGCAGGTGACCCGATAGCATCTTTACGTCCGGTCTTTCTACTTGGCCATCCGATAACTCACAAACTCGTGATGGTTGGTTATCGTGTTAATGTAACTTGAGTTCGTAAAATTCTAAATTGTATTAACACATTAGGTTAACGTATATGAATAGTTTGAAAAATGAACAAAGTACTGTTAGGTTACATGATATCCAGCGTTCACGAGTATCGGGACCCTTTTTACAATTTTTTTTTTTTTTTATATATATATATATATAACTAGAAGAAATGTTTACTATCAGATAAAACTATTGTCATGCATCATAACACCCCAAACGTAGTAGCCAACGAAAAAATAAACATTGTTACGTGACATCATAATTAAAATATTCACCAATGAAAACACGATCAGGGTGTTTTCCACTATCTGGTATCCAAAACTATTTTCCAGTTCCACGCCTGTGTACCCAACGAGTCGGGATTGAGTAAAACTGTACCGGTTGTGGAAGAAATATATAGTGTACTTTTGGACGATGCTGCCATCGATACAGTACAGTTGTATTTGTCACCAGATAGGGGAAAATAAGTGATCATAATTACCCCCACTAAAACTATAATCTAGGGCTAGAAGGGAGTAAGACTATGCATTTGCCACTGTTCTCCATCCTGAGACATGATAATCGGGGTACTTACCGACATGAATCCAATCCTCATATTTTGCCTTTTTCTTTCAGGAATTGGCGATATGAACAAGATCTGGCAAGTCTGCTGTGGAAAATTGATTATAAGGATATATCGATGCGGAATCAATTCGGCGGCACCATGAACCATTTGCTGTCGACGAACAGGGTATGCTTTCTTGTTACCAAGTGACATCCCTGTACTCAATAAGGCCGCAAGCAAGGTCTCCTCACATTCTCAAGCCTCCAATGAAGGCAAACTAATTCTCGTTACAGTCAACATATAACAATATTTCCAGATTTTTCTTCTTTTTCTATTGCCTTGACATCATAGTGCTTTTGAAATCTCTGTTTACATCATTATTACGCCGCGGTAGATTATTTCCAAGCTGCAAGGGAGTCAGTGCCAATTAGATCCCAGCTAATGACAAAAATGCTTCCATTTCAACACGCTTGTTCATTCTAATTACACTGTGAAGAATACTAAAATTGAATACCAAGAAGTTAATTAACAGATAAACTTAAATTAATTCAGTTATTTGTTATTCCGCAATGATATTTCTTGTGAGGCGATGCAATAATCTTTAGAAATGTACACACATAGAACATCATTATATTGGTACATGCACGCTCCTATGTGAGAGAGATATAATTAAACGTCAGAGTTATTTTCAGGTTCCAGATGTGAACAGAATTTGAAACATATGTGGTTTTTTTTTTGGTAATTTGAGCGTTTGGATATTCTTATAAACAGAGAGGCGAGAGTAAATAAATCACAGTTTGTTTTGACCTCTTCTCCTAGTCCAAAATAAATAGCGAATGCTAGCAGGCAATTGGGAAAACGATTCTCCCATGACCAGTTGTCTGTTTTAAAGGCTGATTTGAGCCGAAACACTTGATTAACATAGAATTTCTTGACTTCTTATTCATATTTTTGTCTTTATTCTTTGTGTCAATAATTAGCCTGAGATGAAATCATAATCTCAAGTTAGTCAACATATTTGCGTATTTATACAAGAGAAACAGGTGAGAAAATACAGGCCCCATGGGCCTCTTGTTATATTTTGCTATAACTGATACAATGTATTCACGATAATGAAAGTCGACAATGAATAAAGTATAGTTTTTATTCAATTTGGATATGTTGCAAAAGCAATTGCAGACAAATTGTTGACAAATGTAAATGAAAAACGTTAATATTGCGTTTACGGATGTAACTATCAATATAATGGAGTTACAAAGTGTGCATAATTACATTTTTAAAACAATAAATTTGTCTGACCGGCTAGACATTGAATGTGCGTCCACATTGATAAGCAATTATTTGCTCCACATGATGGTATGACATGGGGCAGACGATTTAGCTATAAATTGTAACAAAATGTCCCATCTGTAACAGTAACAGTCATTGTCACGTGCAATATAAAAGAGAAGTAAATACTGTTTCCAATGATTGCCCATTCCTTTAGGTAAAGGTCTGGATGTGTCATTTATCGACGAGTAACAAACCCTGATTTCGTCTGTCGTAATAGACTTTTCTCTTCAATTTGGACATAGCATGTCTCCTAAACAAATGTACATGTCTTTCTTAGTAGTATGTGTTCGTCGTAATATTACAAGAAAATTATCTTGCAAAACCGAAACATATCAATGCTTTTTTCTGACAAAATTTCCGGTATATGCGTAATCGCGAAAAAACAAATTCTTGGGAAAGCACCTAATCAAACAGAGGGTTATTTTGTACTACTACATCCTCGTTACTGCATGTGTAGCACTCACTTTCCATGTCTGCACACCCTTGAATATGTCAGAGCAAACCTGAAAGCACACAGATAGCTATTTGATTGGTCTCGGGTAAAAAAAAAAAAAAATGACCAATCGCTAGGCTGATATCTGTCCTTTGAGGATTAGAGAGGAGTGACACGCGACCGACAGTATCTTTTGAAGAACATCAAAGGATCAAACTGGTATTCTTGTCTCTTTTACAAGGTAGCGCCCACTGAGCTTTCGATTTTGCTATGACATATTCCAGGGTTGCAGACAGCGAAATTAAACTAAACCCCTGGAACATCGAGGATGGTACTACTTTTGTCTGCTGGTACCGATTCGCATTATATCGTTTTAAATATCAACCAATTTATCGTTAAGTATTGATGGCATAGTTATGTAACACATTTAGATTGACATCAGCACCATGCAGCAGGTCAATTCTTTCCGCATTGGCCGAGTGGTTAAGGCGTCGGGCCGTCTTGATCACAATGGCCCTCTACCACTTGGTCACGGGTCGGATGCCTACATGGGGCAGTAGTCGTAAGTACTGGCCCCACGTCGGTGGTGTTTCTCTGGTAACTCCGTCCTTCCTCAACCACCAAAACCTGGCACGTTCTTAAAAGACCATACCTGTTAATAGGACTTAAAACAAAACAAAATCAAACCAGTCTTTCCCTGAACCTGAACATGGGCAGTACGATATGATATACATGTATGTTATATTCATATATCAACATCATTTGAGATATGACATAACATTTGCACCATTACATGAACAACAACAACTTCGTATGAACTATACAAAAAACTCGTCTTAATCATAATTACGCGATAAAAAGACAAGACCAACAACATTACTAATGCAGTGGATGATGGTGCTTTTCCATTTCACCTAGAGCATTTTGAACACAATAAGGTATCAATAATCGTGCATCACAATGACAAGTGTTAATACTCTTCGCCATTAATTACGTTCGTATCGCCATTATATCAATATGCTAATCCTCGATTGTTGTGGAATAAAGCAAAGTCTGTGTCTAGAGTTGATCTTAAGTATCGGAAACCGGCAGTATTCCTGCGGTGCTTCCTTTATTACCAATGAATCTTCTATATATAACACCTACTCCAGAGGCATTTAATGAATGTTTGGGATTCGCCTGTAAGGCTTTCGAGAATTATGTGAGACAATCTTGAAAGTGTTTAAATAGCGTATGAGCTATTTATATGGATTCTCCTACGTCTTATGTTGGATTTAAAATGCAATCAATTCAATGAATGAAGTACCTACATTACGAAGGAACTCATTTAGTTATTAACCAAAGTCAACATTTTTAAGTAGGGGTTACCGAAACAGCTGTTTGTATCAATCCGTGTAAGGGTCTGTACGGCTGGTAGCTCAAAGGAACAAAGTTAATATGTTGATCTGTTTTTCGCATTTTGGAATTCTGTCGAACCACATACAGGTCATATGTCGACGCTGGTCAAGATAAACAGCAAGGAACGGATGGCAATAGGGTCGAGAAAGATAGTTATGCAAAAATGTTTCACAGTGGACTCTAGGTTGCTCTGATCTATTCAGTTTTCATCTTGCAGTGGACGAGAAGAAAATTACCCTTTTTGAAAATCTCGCTTATATATCAGTCGCCCCTTTATATCATGAAGTGAGACACTGTTAACGTGGATATTTTCGCAGTGTTGAAATGCTAGTAGTTTTTTGCATTGAGCAAACTATGGCGAAAACATACACACACGTGTAAATGTATTCAAAAATATATAAAACATTAAGTTGCTTTCAGAACAATTGCTGATGCAAAAAATGAAGTCCATACCGTATTCAGTTCAAAAAGTGCCAAAGCCAACATTATAACCTGCAACATGTTCTACTTTTACAGCAAGTTTGCCAACCATTTAATCCAAAGCTTTATATGTGGGAAATACTATGAAACAGTACGCAATACAGTTACTTACAACATCTTAAATAAAATATACAAAAACATTTTTTTTATGTTATTTTGTAGAGAACGATGGGAAGAGCTACAAGTCAAATATCGTTAGGTTCCCAGAACGAGATTGATTATCGGCAACTTTTCACCAAGGTTGGCACGTACCGAGGAACAATAGCCGCCATTCGTATCGTCAACAAGAAGAACGTAGAGCTAACACGCAATGTCAGGAAAGAACTCAAATTGGTAAGGTTGAATTTCATAAAATTTACAGCACCAACAATTTATCCGTCAGTTTTCTTTAATATATTTACAAAATCAACTAACGGAACTTTTAAGATAATAATAATATATATATATATGACCAGGGCCCGTACTCATGAAACCGTCTCATGCTCAAATTCAGATACACGTACTGTGCTCAGACCAAATGTCCTGTTACATACTGTGATAAATTAATAATTAAAGTCACATTTGTAATTGATATCGAAAACATTCTAAGAGTCTTAAAGCTAAACACTATCTATTTTCAATATGAATATTTGACTTTTTGATTGGGACACCTGTAATTTAAGCGAGTTATCAATAGAAAGTTGGTTTGTGCAAAAAAAAAAAAAAACGTGCTTAAACGTGATAATGGTTTCATGAATATGGGCCCTGCACTGTAGAATTTGAGTCAGAACCGAGGCTTTGTCGAGGCCCCGACACCTAATTCTGTTCCCGATGGAGGAATACCTACAGAATGGTTGACTCTTGTTTAACCACCTTCCTAAACGGAAGTTTGGTTAAACACGACTTAGACAATGCAAATACAACACCAAATATAGCAAAATTTCTATATCAATATATAAACAAATTTAGGTCATTCTAACACAGCGCACTTTTGACAAAATCCACAAACAACACACTATATCAATGTGTACAATACCAATCAACAGACTAGTATGCAAATGAATGTATGAAATGTTGTTACGCAATTTAATTGGAAGCGTTGAAGGAAGAACAATCAAAATAAACGAATTACATTTAAAATGCAAGATTAGAAGGAAGAACAATAAAACAGGTACCGGTTCTATCAAAGTAAATCTCATTGTTTCATATTATAAATAGCTTATCTGGATGACCAATCACAGGACATGCCTACAATTTGTACCGGTTTACCTTAGATTTAAAGGCAAGTTTATGTATCTTAGGTTGTGTCATTTGTCCACAAGAAAATTAAACAGTTCATGATACGCCGTTTTGACGAGCTTTCGATACGGACGTAAACTATTGCTGTCATCTGGACCCATACGAAACTGGTCTCATGCTAAAGCATATATTCTGTATTCAAACCAACTTTCCTGCAACCGACTTAAATCTTGCGAAACGGTGAAAAAATAAAGTTTAGATATTTTAAAACTGTAATGAAATTGAAGTGACCCATAATTCTTCTTAATTCATTCATCATAAGAACAAGAAATTTGGCTTGAGCACAAAATGTGAGTTTAAGGACGAGAACAGTTTCATTAATACGGGACCAGATTGCGACTTAATAATAGTAAAGGTCACCGAGTGTACCCATGTAGGAAAGGGATACACGTATCCCACACGAGTGTTCCATTATAGGAAATCTTTGTATCTAATATACGAAGAGTTTGGAGAACTGAATGTCGCAATCAATTAAAATGTCATTCAAATTGATGTCTACGCTCTGCGCGTAAATCACGATTTCATCCTCCACCAGTTTTATTTTAGTTTGATGTAATTGAAAAATGTGACTTATATAAACCTACGTGGAAATATTCTCAGACATATACGTCGTATACATGTACAAGTTAACAAGGAAATAACTGCTACTGTCCTGTATCTTCGTAAGCTTCAGACTCGGTGCATATACACTTGCCTTCAGTATATATTGGTCGATTTGGTATTGTTTGGTTCGATTGATACATTTTTCTTTTGCTTAGATGCGGGAATTACGTCACGACAATATCAATCCCTTCATCGGAGCGTGTATCGACTCTCCCCATATCCTGATCGTATCCGCCTACTGTCCGAGGGGAAGCCTCCAGGTAAATACGTCACGTCTTTCTATTTATATATCAATCAGAATTATTCTTCGTTTTGAATGATATCATCCAGTCTTGCGTTGAAACCAATTAAAATCAATATGCAGTTTATAGTATTTTCTACTAAATATAGATGAAACATGATATCTTTATATGATATATAGTAACATCTAAGGAATAAAAATTGCAAATACTGCCTTACTGGCACGCTAGCTTTTAGATGCAGTACAACCCTGGGACGCACTCAGTAGTTTTGCAACGTTGAGCGATGGTAAGTGGCTGGATGGGTGACCAACCACATGTTACAATATATATATACATCAAAACCTCGATATAACGCCCCTCGTTGTATAACGACCTAACGTGTTGGTATCAATATTTTTGCATAAACCTGGTCTTTAACCTTTTTATAATACCTTAACTTTGCTGGACAAATAATGGCAGTATAATGAGGTTTTACTTACGATTCGAGTACTAATTGAAACTGTTCATTAATTAGCAGTCAGTATAATGAGGTTTTACTTACGATTCTAGTACTAATTGAAACAGTTCATTAATTAGTAGGAAGCATAATGAGGTATTACTTACGATTCTAGTACTAATTGAAACAGTTCATAATTAGTAGGCAGTATAATGAGGTTTAACTTGCGATTCTAGTACTAATTGAAACAGTTTATTAATTAGTCGGAAGCATAATGAGGTTTTACTTACGATTCCAGTACTAATTGAAACAGTTCATTAATTAGTAGGCAGTATAATGAGGTTTAACTTGCGATTCTAGTACTAATTGAAACAGTTTATTAATTAGTAGGAAGCATAATGAGGTTTTACTTACGATTCCAGTACTAATTGAAACAGTTTATTAATTAGTAGGAAGCATAATGAGGTTTTAGTTACGATTCCAGTACTAATTGAAACAGTTCATTTATTAGTAGGCTGTATAATGAAGTTTTACTTACGATTCTAGTTCTAATTGAAACAGTTCATTAATCAGTAGGCAGTATAATGAGGTTTTTCTTACGATTCTAGTACTAATTGAAACAGTTCATTAATTAGTAGGCTGTATAATGAGGTTTTACTTACGATTCTAGTACTAATTGAAACATTTCATTAATTGGTAGAAAGCATAATGAGGTTTTACTTACGATTCTAGTACTAATTGAAACAGTTCATTAATTAGTAGGCAGTATAATGAGGTTTTACTTACGATTCGAGTACTGATTGAAACAGTTCATTAATGAGTAGTATACGCTTTGCATACCCTAATCATATTACTATACACTAATCTGTCTTGTCTGGCAGGATATACTGGAGAATGACGACCTACAGTTAGACAGTATGTTTATAGCGTCACTGGTATTTGATATCGTTAGGGTAAGTACTGAGCTCGCTTGTAACCAGTATCCTTTGAAACTAGTAAGTTTCATTGGTATCCTTTTTCGTCGTGATTTTTTTTCAAATTTGCCTTTTTTGTTCAGTGTGACATTAATAAAATGTAAACAATGCAACACAAATAATACTAAAAGAAAAATATCGCTTTCATTAATATAAGAGTGATGTTGAGATTTAGGGGGAAAAAACAACCGAAGTCATATTTATCCTTTTTTAATGATATATTCCATAAAACCCTCTCTTCTTCCTTTAATGTTTTTTTCATTTTCTCGTATTTTGTATCCATCATCGCCAACCCCCCTCCTCCAAGTGTGCTTACTTTAAAAAAAAAAAAAAAAAAAAAAGAGCATATATTGTGTGTCCAAATCACGTGACATTTTTAACTATTCAAGCTAATAGGTTATAGGTTGTGTCTAAATAACAAGATAATTTTCCTGTATTAATGACATAAGTTTGGGTATTTTTGTTTTAATTTTATACCAACTTCGAGACTAATGTTGATACAATATAATAACATTGCATATTTGTAAACGTTAGTTATTTGAATATACAGGGAATGATCTACCTCCACGGCAGTGAGATCCGGTACCACGGTAAACTGCGGTCATCTAACTGTGTAGTGGACAGTCGGTGGGTGGTCAAGATCACGGACTTCGGACTTAACGAATTCATGGCTGGAGCGGAAGAAAACTTCGAGGAATACGCCTATTACAGAAGTAAGAGGAGGATAAATGAAAAACAAAACGTTAATATCGACTTAAGGGTTCCCGTGCCACTGTCGAAAACTGTAACAATACGTTAATATCGGGTTTAATTGACTTAAGGTTTCCCGTGCCACTGTCGAAAACTGTAACAATACGTTAATATCGGGTTTAATCGACTTAAGGGTTCCCGTGCCACTGTCGAAAACTGTAACAATACGTTAGAAACTGTTTATTTCCTGCATGACTATAACATTTATCAATCATTTCTGAAAAGAAACCATACCAAGCGGGACTCGTATGGGAAAAAATACAAACAAATTATACAAAATATAATGAACAAAAGTGTCCTGAGTGTGAAAATGCAGTGGGGCTAGACCGGGATTCGGACCCCGGACTTCAGATTGTTATACTATCTCTCTAACCGGTTGAGTTACATTATCAACGTTACTGTCCCTGGCCTAACTGTGCTTCGATTATATGCGAAACGAAAGTAAGGGGAGGTTATTATATATACGAAAATCCATAGTGCAGCGTGACACGGATCCTTAATTTTTATGGAGCCCTTTTGACAATCTGACAGGCGTTATCAATATAGTATAATTTAATAACATATGGTGTCTGTCTTTACCGATTTACACGTACTCCGCATAAACCTTTTAGTTAAATATACTTGAATAATATTATGAGTCACTGCTGTTTTACCTAAAAAATATATAGTGCCCGTCTGAACCGATTGACATGTTCTTTGCATCTTACTTTTCGTTAATTTCACTAAAAACAAGTTTATGAAAACAATTACTGTTTCGTGTTTGAATAAGAATATATCTTGCATGTAAAACAATCATATTTTTAAGGGTCAGTGTGTCATTCTTTTTAACTTTCAGATTTACTCTGGTTAGCTCCCGAAATATTACGCCGGAACAAATTTCGGCGGATATCCGGCACGCAGGCTGGAGACGTTTACTCATTTGCTGTGATACTGTACGAAATACATAGCCGCCGAGGGCCGTACGGTAACACAACATTATCGCCTAAAGGTACGCAACTCCTGTTGTCTTGTGAGAATTGACAAACAATATTGAGTTTTTGTTACTTTTAATGGAGATTTTCTTAATCAATATGTAGTTTGCTGTGCACATTATGATAATAAAAAGATTTGATCAAGATTCATCATCTATATATTGTATCAAATATACATTTACAATTGTATCATGTAAAACTGCAAACAATACGTACATACATGTATTAAGATATTACATTTACCAAAATATTAAAATTTACCATAATGTTATTTGCAAACTTTTTATTAATTTGAAAATTTGACATGACGTTCATAGAGGTAATAGATTTTGATACAGATTCTAAAGTCAAATCAATATCTTTGTACCTTTACAGAAATAATTAAGCGTGTGGCCTCTACGACCATTGACCCCCCGTTCCGTCCTCGACTTGCCGAGCTGGACACCACGCCAAAGTTTGTCACCGACGTGATAAAAGAATGTTGGGATGAAGATACTATTAAACGGCCAGACTTCAAGGCCATCAGAACTAAACTGAAACCGCTACAGAAAGGAATGTATGTACACAACTAACGTTCATGCTTACCAATTAAAGCGTAAACTTTGGCGTTGTTGTAACTTTATGTTTATTTTACATAAACTAAATCTGCTCAATAAGTTGCACAATATATTGGCGCGTATTGAAACATATATATATAATGCATCAATGCATTAAATATAAACAAAAATATAGACCTAAGGCGAAAAACTGTTAAATTGACATATTTTTCGGCTCAATTTGAAATGCAAAATAGACTGCATAGATTATTGAGTCACCACAAACGAAGTAAGTAGTAACCTCTTACTGATTGACACATTTATAGGTGTACGTCAAGGTATTGTCAACGGTCCAACGTTTTATGTTTTTATTTTGCTCAAACTTAGTATGTATGAGTAATATGGGAATGGCCGAAGCTACGTGTATTAGCGACTATGGGGGTCAGTTTTTCGGGACTTGTGCAACTGTCCCCGTGGCATTTAAAACTTGCTAATTCATTATGATTATTTACCATTGTGTTTGTTGCTGCAGCTAGAAATTGTCCCACAATTCCTAGGTATTTTATCTGCCCACAGGAAGCCCAACATTTTCGATAATATGATCGCCATCATGGAAAAGTATGCAAGTAACCTAGAGGCCGTGGTGGAGGAACGTACAGACCAACTAATCGAGGAAAAGAAGAAGACGGAGGAACTGCTGCAGCAGATGCTTCCGAGGTAGGGGCACCCGTAGGGGACGCTACAAGCAGACATGATATTAAGAAACAAAAAAACACCAATAAGACTCTAAAGTAGATTCTTCATTGCCACACTTTTCTTGTTGATTGTATTTTACAATAAGTATCAATTTCAAATGTGAAACAATCTAAGAGGTCCATTTTAATGCTGGTTCTTGAAGTATAACGTGTTGCCTAGTCTATAAAGACGTTCTTCATTATTGTGTTTAATTCAAATTGTATCAGAGAGAATGCGAAATGTAAGCATATTTATATGGAAAATGAAAGGATATTTTCGTACTTCTGATACATGTAAGTACTTTTGTAAGGCAAACAAAGTTATTTTCGCAGATGTTATTTCCGGGTTTTTTTGTGAAAGAAAATTGATGTAGGATTTTAACATGATAGTAATTGATTTTAATCAACTACCGCTACACTGTATATATTTCTAATAATCTCGGAACCGCAAATACTGGGTCAATGTGTATTTTACACGTCACACAACATCTGTATCGCACTATAATGCTGGAGTCCGTTGCTTTTCGTGTCTTGATCCATTTTCTTGCAAAAAATCGATATATTTACTGTGTTTGACGTCCTGCGTTGACGTAATGAACTACTTAATATGGTCATATTTACTTCGTATATGAGTGATTATGATACACGAGTGTATAATTTGTATGCTCACTTCAAGCAGAATACATTTTTCTGTAAAATTCAAATAAGCCAAAATCCGAATTTAGCAGCACCCAAAGGGAAATAACTCTAACATCCTTGTGTTTCGTCCTGCAGATATGTGGCGGAACAGCTGAAGCGGGGGAAAGAGGTGGAGGCTGAGTCGTTTGATTCAGTAACGATCTACTTCAGCGACATATGTGGGTTCACCGCAATGTCATCTGAAAGCACACCAATGCAAGTACGTACATCTAACGAGAATCAATACGACCCTGCGGCTATACTTAAGTTGTCAAACAGCTGACTCTAATGTGTCCTTATGAACTATTTTCTTTTTTGTAACATATGCTATTGATTTTTTTTATTGTTGAATCTGGCTGAGAGTAAACTTCAATAAATATTCTATTTCATTTCATGAAATATCCGACTTGACTCAAACTACATGTAGTAAACTGCACAGTGCACGAGACACTACACGTTAGTAAAAAGCTGTCTTCTGAACATGACACATCAATAAACATAGTATGTCGGGAGTACAGCCATCTTCGATACTCAAAGTGGTTACGCTCACTTACGCTCTCTGTACCCCTGGAATATGTCATAGCAAAATTGAAGGCACAATGATAGCTGTGTGATTGGTCTCGGGTAAAAAAAAACCATGACTAATCGCCAGGCTGATACCTGTCCTTAGAAGACTATAGAGGAGCGACACTCGACTTCAATCTTTTTTACCGTTACGCAACCGCGAGATTCTTTTGATGTGCATCAAAGAATTGAACTAGTCTTCTAGTCTCATCAACAAGGTGACGCACACTGAGCCTTCGATTTTGCTATGACACATTACAGGGGTGCAGAGAGCGTAAATGAGCGTACCCCTGGAGTTACGATGATGAAGTACAGCATACTATACACTTGAAGCAAGGAAAATGCAGAGTACACTCAGTTAATTTCCATATTCCCTATGCTACAGTCTAATAAACTAAAGCGTCCTTGGCACTGCAAATTAGTGAATACAGTTTCGTGAGTTGTGGCGTATTAGAAACTAAAGTATATATTATATATCAAATCGAATAACTTCGTAAGCTTTAGAGGTCTTTACATGGCAGGTTAGGGAACAGGATATTGAAAGCTGGTAAATTATATATGCTAACACTGCAAACTAGTAAACTGCGGTACTCTCAGCTTCTGTTTGTATTTCTTTCAATCTTTGGAACATTTTCGTGTCCTTTATTGTTAACATATATATATATATATGTTTGTTTGTTATATCGTTTTTCATATTTCACACACACAAACAAAATACTCGTTTATTTTCACATATTAAAGAAAATTGGAATGTTTTGACTTAATTAATCTTTTTTTTTTACTAATGAAGTTTGATGCATTAAGTATATAGAACCTATATGAGTCCGGAAAAATATTAACGCACACGTAGGTTTTGGATATACTGAGCACAGTCTGTTAACACCATTAGATTTGTATTCTTTGTTTAGGTGGTAAATCTCCTTAATGATCTGTACACACTGTTCGACTCTATCGTTGAGAACTACGACGTGTACAAAGTTGAAACGATTGGGGACGCCTACATGGTTGTGAGTGGTCTGCCTACCAGGAACGGTATAAACCACGCGGGGGAGATCGCCTCAATGTCCCTGCAACTACTGGACTCCATAAAAAAGTTCAAGATCCGGCACCGTCAAGACGCCACCATCCGCCTTCGTGTGGGGATCCACTCTGGGTCGTGTGTGGCAGGCGTGGTGGGGCTAAAGATGCCGCGATACTGTCTGTTCGGGGACACAGTCAACACTGCTTCACGTATGGAGTCAACGGGAGAAGGTAGGCTGTTGTTTCCAAACGAAATGTAAACGTCATTTAGTTATAGAATTTACAATGCCGATAAATCTATATTCCTTATGCTTGAACTATATCCTTTGGTATGATTCTACGTGTGTAATGGTGTGAATGTAAAAAATACCCCAAACGATAGCAGTTCTAAATAGCATATGTACGGCGAATGCAAAAATCTAATCGTTATCTTTATTGGTCGGCAAGTATTGTGTAATGATTTGGATAATATCCGATATTGCAGCCTTGAAGATTCATTGTTCGAACACAACAAGAATGCTGCTTGAGGATTTGGGCGGTTACCACATGACAGAACGCGGCATGGTTGCCATGAAGGTAACAATCAGATTTATCGGGGCTTAGACTGTCTAAGTGACATTTTGCATATTTAGTTGGCAGTGACGTGATATTCTGCATAATCCCAATAAGTGAATACATTGTATCTACACTCGCCTTATATCTTACTGATCGTTTGAATAATGTAAATTGTTATCTTGATATGAAATTTCTATCTTATTATTCCCCAACCGTTTCCGAAGGCGACTATTTGTTTTCACTCCGTTCGTTGGTCTGTCCGTCCAAAGATTTTGTACGGTGCATATCGTCTATACTGTTTCACTTGGAATAACCAGGTTTAGAATGCGATGACATCCAGGGATGGCAGAGTGCGTGGTACAAAAAGTAGATCACTGTGACCTAAGATTTGAACTATGACCTCAAACTTTGAAAACTGTTATCCGAGGTTTATCGTTTATACTAGTTTACCTTAAGTAACCAGATTTGGCATGCGAGTACCTCTAGGGATGGCGGAGTGCAGAGTACAAAACGTAGGTCTCTGTGACCTATGATATGACCTTTGACCTTGGTAAACAATTAAATAATTACATGGGGTTGGGGGAGGGGGTCAATGAATTGCCTTGCAATACTTTGCCTTTGTTATTTGATACTATTTTCTGTTGATAATAAACAATGACACCTAATATCGAATACGACGGTATTACAGTTTTGTGTTAAAGCATGTTTAACAGTGCAGCGTTGTTATATGTTAGCCTGCAAAAGAACATTGTTTTCTGGTATGTTCGTCAAAGTCTTAGACTGACACAGACATATTAGTCAAAAGACATGTACACCGTGTCTGACATTGCCTTCATATTCTCCTGGTTTGATAACATCATAACGGATGTAACAAGCAACGCATAGCCTATCGTAAAAAATTGGTTTCATACACGTAATTTTCTGGGTATTCATGATGATCTTCTTTTTGTTTTGGCGGTCTTTTCGTATCGATTTTGTGTTATGACGCTGTGATGAATGGTTTCTATTTCACTTAACGATCCCTGTTCCACTGCAGGTAACACACTGAATAGTTAGTTGTAAATCAGTAACACCCCCTCCCCCACACC